TGTGTGTCTATGTAAGTATGTGTGTAAGTGTGTGTGTGTGTGTTTATGATCGGATGTTGTTTATGCATTTCCACAGTCTCATCCAATTTCAATGAGATTTTTTTCGTTTGATAGATAATTCTTCAGTGTCAGTTTTGAGTTCAAATTGGCTGGACGAAATTACAACCTTGAAGGTGAAAAATCAAAAAACTGATTTTTTACACTTTACGCAAAAATCAGAGACAAGATTTAATGTCTTTGAAAAACAGCATACAATCAATTTAGAGAAGTGAAATCTGATACAAAAGATTATTAGAATTATAAAAAAAATAATATTATAAATAAAAATGATCGTATTATTATTATGACGGTCCATGGAAGAGGTTCCTTCCTTGCAAGATTGAGAATGCAAAAACGGCCCTTTTCAGGGCCACTTCCCCATTCAAATTGTTACCCACTTCCTATTTGGGGATGTGCCTCAGTTGCATCCAATTGTTGTCACTAATATTGATTTTCAGGTGGGCTGACTTTAAACTTAAACTGCTCCAATTGAACTACAAAATTCCCAGTAATGAAACACCCAGTCAAAGACAGGTTATACTGCTAGTCTAAGATAAAAGTGAAGGTTTCAGTCCTTCAAAGAAACATTTAAAGAGTTTGTGAATGTGCGATATTAACTACCAATATGTGAGCTCCAAGCAACTAAGTGATTCATAATATTTTTTGTCTACCAGATGAGCTACAGCATTTGCCCCCCTAATTTTTATTCATCAATATTAAATTTCATTTTTACTATTTTTGCTATGCTGGAAGGAGCTTGAAACAATTGTGCATCTGTTTCAACCTGTGCGCCTATGGGGAGTTGGGTTTCTGTCATGTGTTATTTGTGAATGAATAAATGTCATCTTGAAAGTACGAAGGAAGTCCCTGCAATTACGTTGTCACATTACTTTACATGTCAGTGTGGGCTTTCACTTATTCAATGTCTGTTTCTAAAAACTATGACAGTCAGATTCCACACCCTTCTCCTCCTCTGCCATAGATTTTCGTTTGATTCATTTATGAGGCTTTTATAATTTCGGCTTTAGTTACTTGTTTAAACCTTCACTTGCTGAACAATCCTTACATCCGAAATTACTTAATTTCTTGGGGAATGTCACTATACCATTATGGAACCTTATTTCCACAAGCAGATGGGATTCCGCAATGCTTTATCCAGAGTTCAAATCTGAGTAAAGTCAAGTCTCCATTTTATTAACAGTCATTTCTCACCCTATTGTGGCAGATTGATATTTTCTATGGTTTATCAACCCCTTTTTGTGTTATTTAAAGATGAAACATATTTCTGATTGGAGGCAGTTGCTTACAGTAACCATTTACCCAAGCAGTCCTCCATCTAAGTATTATTAACCCTTTCTGGGTTAGTTAATGCCATAATATATTTCAGATTGTAGGCAGTTGCTGAGTTTGAGAGAATATGAAAAAAAGTAAACATTATTAATGAGATAGGACAATAAAAGAACAAGAATTAAGAAGACAGAAGATAACAACTGACATTGCATTTAAATTTTTGAAGATCAAAATTGACCAGAAAGCAAGAAGCTGGAAGAGAGTTCCACAAGTGAGAAGTGCGAGAGAAGAAATGGTTAGCTTCTTTGCTACTTTACTATTGCATCTATCCATTTCAACTGTAAAAAGACGAAACTTTGTCACCAATCTAGTACTGCGCTTAAATTCATAAAGTCTAGGTACCAAAGATGAAAGTTCATCAGAACAATTACCATAGAAATATTTATAAGAATGGCCCAGGTACACTGTTATAGCAGTGGGAAAGTGATTGAAGCCAAGATGCCAGGTCAGAACTAATAACATTACAGATTCTTTGGATTTTTTTCAAGGATCTCTAAATACATATCAGAAACTTCAGACCAGATGTGGCAGCAATATTCAATACATAGATGAATACAGTACCAATTGTTCCCAAGTAGTCCTCCATTTAAGTACTTACCAACCCTTTGTAGGTTATTTAAAGCCAAAATATATTTTGGATTGTAGGAAGTTGCTCAATGCTGTGATCAAATGGAAACCAATGTTTTCAGTATGATTGGATTTCAGCAAATCCTATTATGAAGATTGCACTATACAATCTTGCTGTATTTTCTAATTTTTGATGAGTCAGAAATTTAAGTTCTCCCCATCAGAAGAGGAATTAGTAAAATGTATCATAGAAGAGCTGGTTCCAGATAATTTCTTTCACAGTTCATCCAAGATGTTCAGAATTAAAATTTTTTTAAAAATCTTAATTTAATATTTTTAAGAATTTTATATGAAATTTGATTAAAAATGAAATAATGGGCTGTTTTTTCAAGTCACATATTGTTGTTACCCTATTATTTTAAAATTATTAACAGTGTTTTTTAGACATATTTTTTTTAATAATTTCACCCCAAGCAAGGCGATAAAGCCACTAAGATGCAAGAGATTAATGAGGACAATAAAAGAACAGGTTTCAAGACGATAGACAATGCATTTAATTTTTTTTTAAATCAATTCACCCTCAAGCTAAGAGGTGAGGGGCTACTGGGAGTGAAAGAGAATGAAAAGACTTTAGAAGGCAGCAGAACGTTAATCCTAAACAGGAGACAAGGGATAAACCTCTACTCCTGTTCAAAAGACTGGGAAGTTGTGTGAACTGGATGACAGCTGAATTTATTTATTTCTAGTAAAAAAAAAAACTTCAGCATTCAGCATTAGAATTATAGAGTTGAATTAGATTTTAGAAGAAACCAGAAACCCAATCCTAAACAGGAATGAATCTCTACTCCTGTTCAAAAGACGGAGGGAGGAGTGCAAACCGGACGTTAGGTGAACCCATCTTTAAATTTTTGGAGATTATAGTTAACTGGAAAGAAGCCAGAAGAGAGTTCCACAAGCAAGAAGTGTGAGAGAAGAATGTATTAGAATAGAACTTATGGTTACATCTAATTATTTCAACTGTAAAATGATGAGACCTAGCTGCCAATCTAGTACTGCACTTAAATTCATGAATTTGAGTTATCAAAGGTGAAAGCTCATCAGAGCAATTGCTATGAAAATATTTATAGTTAAGGCACAGGGAGGCTATGTTATGGCAATAGGAAAGTGATTGAAGCCAAGATGCCAGATCAGGACTAATAACATTGCAGATTCTTTGGATTTTGTCAAGAATCTCTTAGATACATAGCACAAGACCATATGTGGCGGCAACAATATTCAATGCATGGATGAATGGTAGACTTATGAAGGTGCAAGATAGATTCTAGAGCAGTGTTTCTCAACCTTTTTTATCCTTGCATTACCCTTAAAATAAATCACGTCTCAAGGAACCACCTGCGCAAAAACAAAATTATATACCATATCTTTCTCATTTTATTTTCATTGTAGTTCATATGGTAAATATCATAGTATGTATTTTTGAATAATTGGTTTCAGGAAAAATTAATACGTCTTTATCAAATTTTTCGGTAATGCTAAATAAAATTCATACTGTTAATTTAGAATACTTCATCAGGAAGTTTTCATTTACACAAAAATAAGTCAAAACTTAAACATAAAAAATAAACATAAGTAACCAATATCATATACAGTGTAACCCGGATATAAGAAACCCGGATATAAGAGAAACCCGGATATAAGAGACTTCTTCTCCGGTCCCGCCAACTCTCTTATATCCGGGTTACACTGTACCTATAATATAAATGTAAACAGAACAAAAACATAATTGCTGCATCAGTTTTTTATTTTTTTTATCCTTTACTGGCAATGTTGAAAAGACATGAAGTAAATCAAGGTAAAATGTCCTGTGAACCAATAAATAGGCTAAGAAAATGTTACTTTCAGAGCCATTTGATAAAGTGAAACATGCTTCTCTAATGTGAAGCCTGTGCCTGTCTTTTGTTACACAAATACTTAATTTGAGGTCGAACTTTAAATAAATACACACGGATTTTATTCTCAATTGAGAGGAGACGATTTCTATCTTTGTACTTGGTACTTGTTAAATAAGAAAAAGCTTGTTCACATAAGACTTAGAATATATTGGGTGTGTTTAGTAATATGTATATGAAATTAAATCAAAAGTCAAAAGTGCATTAACTTATCTCACCTGTTCTCACGGAACCCTTGAGGATCTTTTGTGGAACAAAAGCCCTGGTTGAGAAACACTGTTCTAGAGAGAAAAATTGTCTGTCACAACACAGTAAATCAATTTAGTTCAGACAGACTACATTCCTTAGTTTCATCTGTTCTTAACTTCATGGTTAAAACCTGCCATGCCACGCACATTGTAGCATATTCCCCACATCCTCTTCGTATTCCATTGGTGAGATGTAAGTTCCACTTGAACAGCTTCTTCCCATGAACTTCTGCTTTGTGAAACTGACTTCCAAGAGGATGCTTCACTGATCACTACAATCTTAACCTGTTCAAGTCTAGGATCAATTGTTGTCTTCCCCACATATCCCCATAAACAGTGCCACTTCTACCTCAAGTGACTCTTGAGCCATGTACATGGTAAACATCAATGTAAAAAAAAAAAAAAAAAAAAAAGAAACAACAGAAGATTAATAATCATAATAACAGCAGAAATAATGTAATGGGTGGTCCGAAAGTATTGTCACTCCTACATAATATAATTTTCTATTTCAATGCTCTGTGTGGTATTATCAAGGAGAGAGTTTCACATGAATGATACCAGAATACCTATCAGTTAAAGGACTCATCATTTTGTGCCAGAAAAAAAAGGTGTTCTTCTTGATGTGTGACAGCATCAATGAAAATGAATAAACTGAATCCATTACATGTGCTTTATATTACTTGTTCTTCTCATTATGTTTTTTGGTAGGGGTGACAAGAGTTTCGGACCACCCTGTATCATTCAATGTCTTGTAAATTTTTTATATCTTAATCGAAATATATTTTTTTTTATTTATGTACATCTCAACATTCTTTCCTTAATGCCATTCTTTTTGTTTTGCCTGCAGGGACCGACCAAAACTTATATTCTTTGATTTGCTTGCATGTTCGAAAATGGGACATGATGTTGCCAAATTTGGATGCCCCACTCCTCAGGTAACTAGAACTCTTTAACACATCTTTACTTACATATTTACATATATTAGATTTGTACAAAAGTACATATATTTACTTATACTAGATGTGTACAAAAGTATGCATGTTTACTTATATTAGATATGTACAAAAGTACGCATATTTACTTACATATTAGATATGTACAAAAGTACATATATTTACTTATATATTAGATATGTACAAAAGTTACTAGCCCCATTATTTTGGTCGGGGGAATGAAAGACTTTGGATACACAGTAGAAAACTTTTTATTTATTTTTTTAAATAAAAAATTGTAAGTGAACTACTGCAGAGGGCAAAGAGGTTCAGGTTTGAGTGAATTTTTTGCAAGTCAGCATGACACTTGAAAAAAATTCCTTACCTCCATGATGAAAATGAATTTGGATGTGTCTCGCATTTACCAAAACGAAAAAATGGTGGCTTTGTGGGTCACACATTTAAAACCAATAGATCTATGAGTCAGATAGACTCTTGCAAGAGTCTCCTTTGACATATATAAATTTAGGCTAACATTGAAGATAAAACAAAGTGTATAACAAGGTAACGGAGGAAAAATGCCGACTGCTGTAGCAAATACGAGACACTGTTGCAGTTTGTGAATTGTTTGCCTTAAAGATTATGGGAATTGATTACAAACCAGGAAACTACAATTTTACATACTTTACTTCCAAAAATGCTGCAAGCGTTTGCATATTCCAAGATGTTATGGTCCAGTTCCTTGTACCATGGTGATAGTCCAAGGTAGAACCAATAAAGAAGAACTCGAACACATATATGGAACAACACAGATATATTACAAACAGGAATATATACAGAGGTAGAAATGTGTTAGTACGAACAATCGAGTTTAGTAGTAATTGTCTGAACATGACTCTGTTTCGGACTGCCTCTGACTCGACAGACTCCTGACGGACTTCACTCCAGACTTCAGACTGAACAGTATTTAGTCACCCCCACACGAGAGTATCATGTGGCACAAGGCCGGTTTAACATGGGATCTCCGAGCCCGTAGGCTCGGCCAAAAATATGCACATTGAACTTGTATAAATGGGTTCAGGGTCAGTTTACCTCCCCGAAAGAGACTCCGCCCTTTGGCGTAGCCTCATTTGGGTTCCTCCCCACCCGAAAGCAGAGAGTTCAGCCGGTCGCCCAACTTCGAACTGAACTCCCTGCTTCCTCTTGAGGCACAATATTTATTACGTATGGAATAGTCCATTATGTTATTATGGGTAAGGTCCCGTAACACAAGAGAATAAGTGAATCTTACAAATATATTATATCTCTCTGAATTTCTAGGATGAGAAGTTATCCCTAATTACACTATATATATTTTTGGACTATTATCCTCATCTTTCTTGTTGTTATCACAACATTTCGGTCGTTGTACCCTCCAGCCTTCATCAGGTGTATATTGATCTGGATAACCTGCTGGGAATTCTGAACTGAACCCTTTATTTAATTTATGGCAGTAGACTGTTCCCATTCCACTGACCATCTCTATGGATATCATCTATTTCTTACTTTTAGTACTGTTCACTCATTTCCAGTTAGACAGCATATAGTTAGATTAGGTGGAAACAGGTGAGCAACAAATGAATTTGAATTAGGATGTAATTTCATTTACTATATTAACAGACAATTAGTATCTAACATTTGTATAAAAAAAAACCTAAAAAACCTATAGCAAAGAAAACGTCGACTTACCTTATCAAGCCAAGCGACAGCAAGTCGCATGTATTCTACGACGGAAAATGTGACGGAAAATAAAATTACTTACCAAACAAAAGGGCATGTATTCCACATGACATGCTGAAGATGGAATATTTGAATTAAAAAACAAGTCCGTCGCAGGAGTCGCTATAAAAGTATTTTGATATGCAAATTACTGAACATCCTCTCTCGGCTGTCGACAAATGGAAAAAATGCTTGGCTGATAAAAGCAGTTGGTGTTTTCAAATTGAGAGAAGAAATTCGGGTGTTTTGGCTATCGCGTTTGTTAGAGAATGAGTTATTTTTCTGACTGGTTACACGCATTGTGATTTGTGAGATAGTACCTGCGAATCGAGTTTTCAGCATTTCTTTCTGCCTCCCAATATTCAAGTCTGAACTTAGTGATTTATTCTTTGTAACGTGGAAATAATCTGCGACAAACATTTCCTTTGCAATCCCAGATCGCTTACAAAACCTTTAGTAAATTGCTTTAAATCTAAGACCTTCTCTATGAAGACATTTTAAGAAATGTCCATGTTCATATTATAATGTGTATAAAAGCACCCTCACCATTTTCCCTCCAAAATATTTCAAGGGTTTTATATATGAAATTTAGGTATCCACTCAGCTAATGATTATCTCAATATCATAGACTAGCAAGTACTTACACCTGGACTAATAATACAATACTGTAATGTTAAAGGTAAATCGTTTGGAGAGAGCAGGCCAAATAGCTGTGCCGTGTCTCAGGGGAGGACTATGATATAAAATGTACTATAATAAATGTACTATATAAATAAATATAATGTAATAAGTAGTCAACTTCAGATCACATGGCTGCCTTGGTCTGAAGAAACTTTCTTTACGGCAATTGTTTTTTGATAAATTAAGCACACCTTTTCTAAAGTGCTCAATCAAAAAATAGCTAAGTATCCAGCTTTCATTAAAATTTCGGCACTCAAAATCAAATTTATTTTCTTACTTTGCATGGGCCTGTTTTTTTTTTGTTTTTTTTTTTTCAGAAGTCTTCTGGAAAATAAAATAAAAAATGAGTATGGTAATTGAGATAGGTTAGTTACAGTTAAGTTGGCAGGCTGGACTAAAATCCTTCACAGGCCAGATTTGGCCCACACCTGTCTAATACCATCAAATATATTTTTATCATCAGTATTTTATTTTTAGCTCTTTTAAAAAAATCTGCCATATGCCAAAGTGAATTTATTTTATAACTGGTGAATTACGATTTTTTTCCTATTAAAATGGATGCTCCTTAGATGGCTAATTGTCTGTGGACTTATTGTTGGATTATAGATGTATAGTTATTGAAATGGTTATTAGTGTGGAAAAAGAGAATGTGTGAGCGAATTTCAGATTTTGGCCTTGCCTGCTGTTTTTATTTGTGCACTTACACTCTTTGGAAAGGTATGAATCCATCTGTTCTCCTGCTAGCTATTAATTCAATGTAGTAGACTGGGCTCTCCACCCTTGGCCAGCACCCAGTCTGAGATTAACTATTCTGAATTCCAAACAGTGGAGAAAGCAGTGGGAAAATTACTCCATTATCTTTCCCAAGAATGCTTGGCAATTCACCGAATTTGGTTCTGTGAAGAATTACCTGTGTCTTGAAGAGACGTGGTATTTTAAAAAGTCTTTTATAGCCATTTGTAATCAAAGGCTTAAATGGCATTATGGAATGGTCAAATATCCAAGGCAGCAATGAATTTGTTAATAAATTTAATTTTATTTATCGAAATAAAGCATAAGTAATCTTATTTACATTGTTCAGACTGTTGTTCTCATTGTCATATTCCAAATATACATAGGAATTTCCAACGGAACCCTTTATTTTGTCCACAAACATTAGCCAAGCAGATGTCTCAATTTCATATATAAAACCTTCAAGATATTTTGGAGGGAAAACACTTCTGAATATAGACATTTCTTAAACTGCCTTCATATAGAAGGTCTTAAATTTAAAGCCATTTACTAAAGTTTTTTTTAGTTTTTCTTTTGATACAAATGTTAGATGCTAATTGTCTTTTAATATAGTGAATATAATTACATCTTAATTTGAATTCAGTTATTGATCGTCCATTTCCACCAAGTCTAAGTACACGCAGCCCAACTGGAAACAAGCGAACAGTACTATAAGTATGAACTAGACCATATCCCTAGACATTGGAATGAGAACAGTCTACTGCCATTAATTAAATAAAGGGTTCAGTTCAGAATCTCTTGTAGGTTATTAATTTAAAGCTTGTTCCATATGCCATGTCATTTCTGGATAGCTCAATTTCAGTTATTTCTCTTTAGTAACTCAGCTCTCCAAGTTTCACCTTGACATAGCCAGGTATTGAACTTACAACTCTGGATACAATGGATTACTTCAACCAGCGCTTTTATCCACTGGGCCATGTGTCCTTGCAGACATCAGTGAATGAATTTTGAAGACTTATAAACCTAATGTCTTGGTAATCATTTTTACCATAGCTTGTTGTTACTGTCCTTTTTCTCTAGCAAGATAAGGTCAACAGTTTGAACAATGTAAATAGCGTAAATAGTTGCAATACCTCATCTCGGAAATATAGACGGATAAGTAGTCTAATATAGCAATTTCTAATGTTAACTATCAAAAACATCAATGGCATTATGTAAGGGTTCAAATATCCAAGGTAGCAGTGTTAATAAATTTAATTTTATTTACCAAAATAAAGCCTATGTATATATCAATTTCCATTGGTAAAAACCTTATGTAAAGGTGGAAATATCCAAGGCAACAGTGAATTTCCCCCATGGAAATAAAATAAGTCAATTTGTAAAATGAAAAGCCCAAAGGAAATGAAATAATGTTTTGGTGTCAAAATTAAAAATACAAGTTTCCCTAATAATTCTCAGGATTCCTTTTTCATAATATGCATTTAAGATTTTAAATCTGTTGTGATTAATAAGTTTTGTTTTAGCAAACAAATTTTGAATATTTGATTAAAATGGTAGTCTGTATTCTTTTAATGCAAAAGAACCAGAATGCAATTGCTAATAGACTTGTATTTTTATTGCAGATGTGTGTGAAAGAATGTCCCAAAACCAACTATGTTTATCTGGAGTCCGTCATTAAGGAAAGGAACAAGAAAAATCAGAAAATTGAAAGTGAACGCAATAAACTCATATGTAAATATGGAGTTAACAAAATGTCTGTAAGTATTCATAATGTCACCCAGTGAGTATTAACTTCATGTTAATTGTTCTGATTTTTCCTTTTTGGTAGTTTGACCTGGCAAATCTGAACATAGTACTAGATTGCCAGCTAGGTCCCATCATTTTGCTGTTGAAATTGCTAAATAGAAGCATGTTCTATGCTAACACTATTTTGCTCAACCCTGCTCTCCAACAGTGTCTGTTATGAGAGTTAAATCAGTTTTTGTTCTATGTCATATAAGGGCACTTATGCTTAACAGCAGAAAGAGAAATTTTAAATTTTAAAGGCACATAATGAGGAAAGAGGACTTAGAAAATTTGACCCTCACAAGGCATATTGAAAGCAAGATGGACAGGAAAGCAGTTCATAACCTAAAGTGCTTGTGTAAATGGTTGGCAAAACAGGGATTAGCAAAAAGTCAAAATTTATTAAGGACTGGATCTTGCATGCATCCATGATCACCCACGTCCTGAAGGGACAAGGCACATAAAAAAGAATTCCAATGTGTTTTACCTTTACTATAGTAATTTTTCTGACAACCATAATATAACATCCCTCTTTGGTCCTAGACTTTATGAATTTAAGTGCAGTACTAGATTGGCAGCTAGGTCTCATTGTAATCATTTCTTCTTTCGCACTTTTCACTTGTGGAAGTCTTTCCCAGCTTCTTGCTTTCCAGTCAGCTTTGATCCTCAAAAATTTAAATGCAATGTCAATCGTTATCATCTGTCTGCTTAAATCCTCTTCTTTTATTGGCCTCACTTCTTAATGTTTTTTTTCTTTGATTCTTTCACACTCAGTACCCACCGCCCTTGCGTCTTTATCACCTTACTTGGGGTGAAATGATTAAAAAAAAAAAAAAAATCTAATTCCTGTTCATATATTCTTATTTACATTTCTGTAGAACAGTTGTAAAGTTTTGCCTTTCTTAAATAGAATGTTTCTCACACAAGCCAGCTCCGAATATTCTTTTCTCGGACTCATCTTTTAGATTATTTTTAGAATAATAAAGGAAAGACAGCATGTTAAATAACTAAAATATTATTTTGATTTGTTATGATTCAAATTAATTTTTAGAATTGAATGAATTATAATCTGAAGAAATTTTAGATTCTCTATGTAAGTCTAAATGATTGTTTTCTTAAAACTGAAATTTGTTTTCTACGAAGTTTTCATAGAGATGGGGTGGGGGGGATTTTTTAAATAATAAATGAGGTGGGCTCCAATTACAAACCTAAGAGCAGCTATAGCCAGGGGTTAAGCCTTATTTCAATTTAAGACTTACTTACTCAAATTTAAATGCTATAAATTTCTAAAACTTATGTTATTATTAAAAATAAATAGTTTCTGCAGTTCAGTCTGGTAGGAATCTATAAAATGATTAATAAAAGCATTGGATACTGGATATAACTGAGGAGGCAGTCGGATTAGCCTCAAATTTAATTTACTTTGGAATGGAATGAAAACATGCAGAAAATTATTTAATGAGAATTTAAATCAAAATTTTTATCACAATTTAAGCTTTACAAAACATGTTTCTAATGTTCTTCATGAATCATCATGCGTTATTGTATATATCCATGAACGGATTGCAAGAAAGCATGAATAATATTGATGTTTCACACTTGCTTAATGTACAGCAGTTGTAAAGTTTTGCTTTTTCTCATACGAGCCACTTCCAAATATTTTTTCTTATCTTTTAGATTAGTTTTAAAATAACGACCGGAAGATGGTACATTACATAACAAAAATATTATTTTGATTTGCTATGATTCAATTTTTAGAATTAATTTTTAGAATCTATAAGTAAGATAGATCTTTTAAGAATGATGGAGGATGTAAAACAGTATTTGCATACTGGTACATCAAAAACAATATTTGGCCTAGAAATTGACTGTCTTCTGTCGGAACTAAAAAACACAGAAAGGGAGAGAATTATCTCAAATTTCCAAGATTTTTTCAGCACATCTTTTTTGAAACTGAATAAATACCTAGAGACCCGCCCTGTGAATGACATTTACAAGGCAGCTCACTTGTTTGATTCTAGACAGCTACCCTGTATGATTTAGACAGTTTTTCAACCATCAATGACTTGCAATGTCCTTCTATTGATCTTGAAAAATTCCAAATGTGACTTAATGAAGATGATTTACCAAATTCTTTTAATATCCAATCATTTTGGAATGGCATGATATTTGTTATTTCTTTATATGCAATAAAACTTTGAATTATATTTTTGGGTTTCAGTTTTAATAATAATAATATAGCATATTGTATTGCAGTTTTCTCATAAAATACTATAAAAATGGAAAAAATGAAATTTCCCTAAAGTAAAAAGGGAAAAAAGCGAAATTTACCAAAACTGTAAACGGAATCAAAGAAAATTTGAAATGGAAAAGGGGGGTCCCATATCCATGAATGGATTGTGAAAAAGCATGAATAATATTGATGTTTCACACTTGCTTAACATATTTCTGTACAACAGTTATAAAGTTTTGCTTTTCTTCAATAGAATATTTCTCATACGAGCCACTTCCAAATATTTTTTCTTATCTTTTAGATTAGTTTTAAAATAACAAACGGAAGACGGCATGTTACATAACTAAAATATTATTTTGGTTTTTATAATTCAAATTAATTTTTAAAATTGAATAAATTATAATTTGAATGAAGTTTTAGAATCTTGATGAAATCTGTTTTGCAAGGCAAAATGATCATTTTTTTTCAAATTGAAATTTTTCTCGAGAAAGTTTCCACAAAAATAAGTGTTGGTTGGAATAAGAGCAAGGAGTTTGGAATTTCTTTTCCAAAATGAATCAGTAGGGGTGGAGGGTTTAATTATTACAGTCCCGATGATAAATGCATCTCAGATGCCAATGTCTCTCTGTTCCCAAAATGTATAGCTAATGAAGGCACTATTAGTACTTCAAAGGGCTTAGTAAGCCTAAAGTAGATTAAATAAATGACTCAAACATACAAAAAAGAGAAATTCTTCATGATAGCTTGGTTTACAAGTGAATTATATTATAGCCTCAAGTCCATAACAATAATGACCGATTTTTCTGAGCTGCAGGGATTAAGTTGAAAATACTTTGTTAATTACATTTTTTTATTATTATTTTTTGATTACATTTTAATTATACAGGGTATGATGGATAAAGTGTTGCCATTTTATATTTTTAATTTTGTGAATACGCATTGTTTGTTTTTGATTTTGTCAACTGCACAGTACAGTAAGGCCAGTTGGACACCGTCTGTGAAAGAAAGAGCACCATGACGCAATTCACTCTACCAGAAATTTGGAAATGGCATGTTGTACTGCTTGGCATTTGCACTGGAAGCTCCAATATGAACATTTCAGAGTGTTATGTTGTTAGTGCAGAGAATTCAGAAAGAGTTGGATAAGTCTAATGATGATTAATAAGGTGTTTGGAATAATCACTAGTGATATACAACGTTATGCCTCCATTCATTTTCCCACAGAGCCTCAGACTCAACAGGCCTACATCAATTACCTTGAGAAGGTATTGCTGCTCTGGGTCAAAAGGGTGGCTGCTGGAACAGAGCTCTGCACCATGCCACACAAGGAGGAGAACACAGTCATGGCTGTCAAACAATTTCTGCAACTACATCATTTCTTAAATCTAGCCATCTAACTCCTCAGACTGCAACCCCCTTGATTATTATGTGTGGGGTGCAGTTGAGTGAGAGACCAACTCCTTGTAACACTAAATATGAACTGAAGCCAAGGGTTATGGCATTAACCAACTTAAACAAGGAGACAGTCTAGAAGAGTTGCAGGAGATTCTGAAGTCATCTGGAGGCCGTGGTTGAAGCCAATGGCGATTTTATTGAATAAATTTACTGTTTATTATTTCAAGATATTTTTGTGTAATTTTGGTAAATATATCTGTTAAAATGAGATGTCAGTGTTATTTTCATTTTTGCATAATTTAGTCGACAATTTATCCTTCCCACCCTGTGTGCGTGTGCACACACACACAGACGACATTGCACACTGAGTGCTGATGTTAATAAAATAGTGCCTGATGTAATATAACAACTATTAAGTATATATTAATAAATATATTTTTTTTTCTTCACTGGCAGTATAAATTGGAGTTTCATTCACAACACAATCTTCAGATTCTGAATAGAGTCTGACTGTTGCATACTTTAAATACTATATATATATATATATATATATATATATATATATATATATATATATATATAACTATGAACCCTGACAATCCGCATAGGTGAAACCTAGGTAGGTTTGCCTGACTCTTTAGGTTCATATTTAGGTTTGCTCTGCTTAGTGTATTGAGCACTTTATTTAGTTACTTTTGCTTTACTCGTGGTGGAGGTTTCTTTATTTGAACTCTGAGCTTGGATTCTGTACGATTGTTTTCGCCTCAATTACATGTTCTTAGTTCTTTCTTTTTTTATCCCTTATTTTTCCTTGGGTATTGGTTTGTTCATTTACAAGCCAAAAAACCTAAGGTATTTCCAGACAAGTATTATTACTTATATTTATATTATATATATATATATATAGATCCTGTTTTTTGTTATATATATATATATATATATATATATATATATATATATATATATCCAGTTTTTTGTTATATATATATATATATAGATCCTGTTTTTTTTATATATATATATATATATATATATATATATATATATATAGATCCTGTTTTTTTGTTTTATATATATATATATATATATATATATATATATATATATATATATATATAGATCCTGTTTTTTGTTACATATATATATATATATATATATATATATATATATATATATATATATATATATATATATAAATAGATCCTGATTTTTGAAAATCTCCCATTTTCTTTTTTCTAGGAAAGCATCACTGACTTGGTCAAGACAGGAAAATGTGCCGCCTATTACATGAAGTCTATTTCTGGTATGTGCATTGACCAACTCTTCATTTAAATTTTGTTTTTCTGCTTGTCCCTACACACACACACACACACACACACACATATATATATATATATATATATACACATACAGATGAGTACATATGCATGCATATTCATACATATGTGTGTCTGACAAACTTGTGTACATGGATTGCAAAACCAGGAGCAGAAGTCTTAGTAAAGGGAGAACAACTGGTAATAGTCACACGAGATAGGAAGTTGTGGAGAGTCATTATCTCCTCTGTCCTGAAGGGACATGGCATATAGAAGAGTAATAATAAATAAATAAATATATATTTTATAATTTCAGTCCAAGCAAAGCAACAGAGCCACTAACATGCATTATATTATATATATCCAAAATCAGTTGTATTCATAAAACATTCAGATAGTTTTTATTTACTCTATATCTAGAAAAGAAATCGTACAAATTGAATAAAAAACTTAATCACATATTCTCATTTAGCACAAATTTTTGGTATTAATTGCAAAAGTTTCTCAAAGTATAAGTTTCATAATTGATTTCATTCTTTTTTTCAGTGACTCTAAGAGAATCTTTTTCATTTTTTTTCACTCTTCAGTTAAATTCATCCCCTTCTGATTCTGGGGGTGGTTTCAAACTTTTGAACTGTAGTGTATAAGGAAAAGTCTTTTTGAAGTCATAATATTCCAAGATATATATATATATATATATATATATATATATATATATATATATATATATATATATATATATAAAACAAATATATGGATATAGACCCGACAGTATGAAGAAAAATATACTGAAAAAACAAACAAAAATCCTAATATGCAATTATGCTGTTTTGATGTTTAATGTCAACGTTGGACGTTTTGGTCTAATAGACGATGGACATAAAAGCAATACCAATCCAAACAGATAACTGAAATCATCTTTTTCATGTTGAATTGTATATGGTCTATGTTAATTATGTTTTATGAATATGTCCTGAAGATTGTCTATTAGACCGAAACGTTCGACATTGACATTAAACATTAAAACAGCATAATCACATATTAAGATTTTTGTTTGTTTTTTCAGTATATTTTTCTTTATATATATATATATATATATAAATACAGGACTGCAGAGTTCTGCATTTTAAGCCTGAGCAGACTTTACCATATGTAAAGAACATATAAATAAATACGAAGGTATAAACTGAATTGAATCAAAATTCCTTAAAAGATCAAACCTTAAAGATTTTCTAAAGGCAAGAAATTCAATATTATTATTCCTTTTTGACTTGTTATATAAAAAAAAATTATTTTCTGTAACTTTGTGAATTTCTCGGCTCTACACTACAGTTCAAAAGTGTGAGGAAACTCCTGATAAATTTTTAAATTAGTCCCTAAAGTAATTGTTTTGTTCTTTAAATAAGAGAAAATTATTATACATAGTTTAAAAAAAAAAAAGTTAGACATACACTACAGTTCAAAATTTTGAGGAAACCTCTGCTAATTTTTTTTTTTTGAATTGGCCCTCAAAGTAATTGTTTTGTACTTTAAATAAAAGAAAATTACTATATATGGTCAAAAAAAGTGAAACATAATTTTTATTAGAAGTTTTATTATGGCAAAAATAAATAAAAAAAGTAATTTTATGATTAAACTTTGCTCTTGTCAAAATATTCTTCTTTAGCACAAATTTTTGGCATTTATTGCAAAAGTTTCTCAAAGTATTCTTTTTTCAATGACTCTATGAGCTCTTTTTCATATTTTTTTCACTATTTTGTCAATTTTATTCCATGCAAATTCTGGGGCTTGATTCAAACCTTTGAACTGTAGTGTATATAAAATGTATGTACATATCTGAGGTGCTTCATGATTCAAATTAATAAGATTATTTTGCATTTTAACATTGATATTTTAGAATGCAAGATTTAGGTTATATTTCTTGCACTTTTTTGAAATATTTTAAGATGGGCCCATGTATCCTATTCTCAATTTACTCTGGTTTGATTTTTGCATCATGAGTCAGCATAACATTTGTCTCTCTGCATAGTTTCATAGCTTCTCTTCTTGAATTTCAGTTGCTCATCGATGTATTCCTGCTGTTTTCAACTCTCGCAATTTCCATGACCACCTACTGAGTGGAAACTCAACTGTTGCCCTGGAAAACGCTGATGGCATAAAAATCACACCTCACTCTCTTGATGAAGCTACCAGGTAAGTGATAAAAAATAAAATCAAAAATTTAAAAAAATAATACAAAATGACAAAAAAAAAATAAACAATTACATTAAAAAACAAATGCATTAACAATTTAACCTACTTTAACTTTTATTACTCCTTGTGGAGTTCTGAGGTGCAATAAGAAGCGAAATGGCTATGAAGGCTTTTATTTTGTCAAAAAAGTGACATGCTTCCCCATATACATACAAGTTGACACCAGCATTTGTTTTGTTTTTCTTTCACCTGACTAGCATATTTATTTGTCTCGTTGACAAATAAAGTTATTTCATCATTTATGAATAGACAAAATAATTCACCTTTAGAAAGGCTATCAGGTATATCGATGGTTACCAGCAGCTTCCATAAAATTACTCTTTGACCATTTCACCATCAATATCCACTTGAGTAAAGCCTTTAAAATCATCATCAGAGTCCAAATCAAAGAAAAATTCCTGAATAAAGGCTTTGTTGGATGTTGATGTGGCCATTTTTGTTTACAAATAATCGTGAAAAAATTAACATGGGTTTAATCGAAGTTACACCTCATGTAGAGTCTAGAAGAATTCAAATTGTGTTGGAAAACAGAAGTTTAGCCTTGTTCCAAAGCAGTAGTAGGTGATTTCTAGCTTAAAATACCAGAAATAACAGTTGACAAGTGTTTATTTATAGCAACAGTTTTGAGGCTACATAATACACCTAGAACTGCAAAGGGAGCTACGGCAACAATTTTCACCTCCAGTGTGGTAAAGTTTAAATAAAAAGTTCAGTTAGAACTTCCCTGTAGGTTACCAGAGTTGACATACAACTGATAAAGTTTGGAAGGCAAAAAATTGTGATAACAATACAGATGACAATAGTCCACATGTAAATAATGTAAATTATCATTATTTATATTTGCACTATTGTCCTCATCTTTGTTGTTATTATCCATTAGAAATTCTAAAAAGTCAAAGCATATTATATGGGTTTCTTTTTTTTTTTTCAGAAAATTGTTACATAAAATTAACGGTGCATATTGATTTTACACAAATAATTACAGTAATTTACTTTTCCTTTTTTTTTTTTTTTTTTTAAACAGGTACCTCAGTGAATTCTACAAATTCCATGAATATGGGGAAATGATTTACAGTGATGTTAAAAGTTCTTGGCTTCTCATTCTTGTGTAAGTATTTTTTTTATTTTTTTAATTGTTTCACCCCCAAGCAAGTCAGTTATGTCACTAGAACAGGGAGTACTGGGAGTGAAAGAGAATGAGAAAGCTGAGAATGGGGAGGATTGAGCAAAAGATAAAAAAAAATACAGGATTCAAGAAAACGGAAAATGACGATTGGCATTGCACATAAATTTTTGAAGATTGTAGGTATCAGGAAAGCAAGAAGGCGGAAAGGAGTTTCACAGGTGGGAATTGTGAGAAAAGAAACTGTTAGAATAGAAGTGGCTGTTGCAACTAGTGAGTTCAACAGTCAAATGGTGAGACCTAGTTGCCAATCTAGTAAAACATTTAAATTCATGTATTCGGGGAACCAGGGAAAGAAAGCTCATCAGCTACCATGAAAATATTTGTAGAAAAGACAGAGGGAAGCCATGTCACGTCAGTGAGAAAGTGATTGAAGTCAAGATGTACAGCAGGAGCACCAGACCAGATATGGCAGCAGTATTCAATGCATGGGTGAATGGTAGATTTATAAATGTGTCACATGGATTCTAACAAGATAAATTTTCTGGTACGACACAGTGAACCAACTTTCCTTGCTGTAGATGTAGCAATTGATTCGATATAGTCAATCCACTTCATGTCAGTGGAAAACGTGAGGCCTAGCAGGCATAGAGTATGGCTCCCTAGGAGTTTAGCATCAGCCATGCTGATGGCAGGCACAAAAGGTTCTCTGTGGTGATCAAGTGAAAGCAGTTTTGTTTTGGAGGCGTTAAAATTTACAAGCCATCTCTTGCCCCAGTTAACCGCTGATTGGATGTCCTTATAAGAGCATTTGTCACATTTACTATGTCAGGTCTGTCTGAATTCATCTCTAAAATTCACTCATTGATCATTGATATTAGTGTGTCTCAATTTAATTGATCATTCATATTAGAGTGTCTTTAATTTAATTTTAAAAGGATTAATAAAAATTCTCTTATATTCACCAAACTTAAGCAATGTCAAGGCTGATCACTGCCTAGATGGGTGATCACTTGGGAATACCAGCTTGTATGTACAGTTGTAATGGGTAACAGCTCAAAATTGAAAATTGGAGAGCCAAGTTCCAATTCCATCTAGGTTTGTTACATTCACTTACTCATGTAAACATCCTTAGGAAACATATGAATATACTGCTTCTCCCTTCCCCCCAGCTATGGGTTAATTAGTAGGGCTTATATCATTATCTCCAAAAAATTCTCAAAATCTAAAAAAAATATTTACTGGCTTTAAATAACCTGTCATAAAACACAAAGTCAATCATAATGTTTCAAGAATATCAGAAGGAAAATTTGTTGTGTTAGCTTCACTTTTCCGACCCTTCGCATAATTCTCTTTCAAAATGCTTGCCCCCCTCTGATCACATATAGCAAGCAAACAGCTCTCATATTTTTGAATTTAGAATTAGAAAATGCTGCAAATATTTACAAGCGGTCAGTAAATGTTAATGGAAAGGCTGCACTTGATGTAAACACAGTAAAGCAATGGGTCAATAGAGTTTATAGCAATCCTAGATACATAAGAGAAATTGATTTTAGTGACAGGCCACACAATGACAGGCCAGATGCTACTGTGAATCAGGCTACGGACAAACAAGCTGATGCTCACATTACATTTTTTTTTAAAATCATTTCACCCCATTCAAGGCAATAAAGCCACTGGGATGCAAGAGGTTACTGAATGTTGGAGAATATGAGAAAAACTACTGTTAAGGAGAGAAGACAATAAAAGAACAAGATTTAAGAAGATAGACGATAAAAATTGACATTACATTTAAATTTTTGAAGATCAAAGTTTACTGGGAAGCAAGAAACTGGAAGAGAGTTCCACAAGTGAGAAGAAGAAACTGTTAGCATAGAACTTAAGGTTACGTCTCGCCATTTCAACTGTAAAATAGACAAAAGTCTTCAGGTGAGCCATGGTAGCACCTGACATTGACAACTCAAAAGTCAGTTCAAAATGGATTCTCAGAATATTAATTCCTTGAAGGAGCAGTGAGTGATTGCTGCTAAAGATTTTCTGGAACTCTGTAACATGGATAGCACTCAGAGGGCAGCAGTTCTCCAACAATGATGAGGTAACTTCTTCCAAAGCATCCAAAAAGCTTCCATGAAGTGCATACACATGAATATACAGGGTGCGATGGATAAATTCTCGTCTAAATTACACAAAAATGCAAATAACACTGACATCTCATTTTATCAGATATTTTTACCAAATTTACACAAAAATATCTTGAAATGCTAACGGGTAAATTTATTCAAAAAAAATCTCCATTGGCTTCAAACATGGACTCCAGATGATTTCAGAATCTCTTGCAACTCTTCTGGACGGTCTTCTTGTTTAAGTTGATGAATGCTGCCATAATCCTTTGCCTTTAGTTCATCTTTGGTGTTACAAGGAGTTTTGTTGGTCTCTCACTCAACTGTGCCCCAAACATAATCAAAGGTTTTACAGTCTATGGAGTTAGGTGGCCAGATGTAAGGGATGATCTAGTTGCAGAAATTGTCTGATGGCCATGACTGTGTTCTCCTGTTTTTGTGGCATGGTGCAGAGCCCTGTTGCTAGACATAAGGTCTTCTAGCAGTTACCCTCTTGAATCAGAGCAGCACTACTTCCTCAAGTCACTTGATGTAGGCCTCCGTGTTGAGTCTGAGTTGAATTTGGGAGTTCTATTCTTATCAGAATGATCAGATTTTGTTTTCCAAACTGCCATACCTTTGTAATCACCAAATGTTTTTGAATCCTCTGCATTGTAGTCAGATTGACACCCAAATACTCTGTGTTCATATTGGAGGTTCTGGTGCAAATGCCAAGCAGTACAACATAGTTTCCAAATTTTTGGTGGAATGAATTGCATCATGGTACCCTTTTTCTCATAGAGAGTGCCCAACTGACCCTACTATACTGTGCAGTTGACAAAATCAAAAACAACAATGTGCATGAACAAAATTAAAAATATAAAATGGCAGCAATTTACTCATCACACTCTGTATATGAAGAATTTTGTCTTGACAATTCTTGTCTTGATGGCTAAAGATGCATTCCAAAAGCTGGGCAGAGTACTGTGAGACAGGAGGATTTCTTTGGTGAGATAAGACAGCAAATATTGGTCAGTCTCCTCAAAGATGAAGAAGAGACTCGAGGCTACGGAGATGTGGTTCTACAGAAGGATGCTAAGGATATCATGGACCGAGTGTGTAAGCAACGATGAGGTCTTAGAGAGGATAAAACAAGGAGGAAACTTGCATAAAACTTATTGAGAGCTACAAGGGATAGGGAGAAGTGGAGAGCCATGATCACCTATGTCCTGAAAGGACATGGCTCTCTACTTCCCCCTATCACTTTATCATAATGTGGCTTCTCTGTGTCTTTTCTATATAAATACTTTCATGGGAATTGCCCTGATGAACTTTGCTCTTTGGTGCTTAGACTTTCTGAATTTAAGCACAGTACTTGATTGGCAACAAGTTGAAATGGTTAAATGTAACCGTAAATTTTATGCTAAAAGTTTCTTCTATCGCACTTCTTGATTGTGGAACTCTCTTCTGAATTCTGGCTTTCCAGTCACGTTTGATCTTCAAAAATTTAAATGCAATGTCAATCGTTATCTACTGTCTTCTTGCTTCCTTTTCTTTTACTGTTCTTGCTGCTTAATAATGTTTTTCTTATTTTTTCACACTCTGCTTTGGGTGAAATGTTTATATATTGTTGTATCCAATGAAGGGAGGACAACATAATACAATTAGTAATAAAAAAAGGCTACTATCAAATATCAGAATCAATTTTATTTTATTTTATAATGTTCAAATATGACAGGCAATATATTGCTGAGTGATAACCAATTTTTCCCAGCAAGAAATATGTAACCAATTTTAATGACAAAGAAAGGTATTGGTATTTACTGTTATTTAAAGATGAATTACATTTTTGCTTGCAGATGCTTTTTAATTGCCGTTGGCATATCCCTTTTCTGGGTCATTCTCCTCCGTTGGTTGGCGGCTGTCCTCATTTGGGTCACATTAATCACTTTCCTTGGCCTCCTTGGCTTTAGTAAGTATACAATAAACAATTGTGTGTGTGTGTTTTCACAGAAGTGCTTATATTCTCATCAGCCATTGCAAGTTCATTGCCAGACAGAGCTTTTCCAGCAAACATGGACTTTTGTGCCTGCAATAAAACTGAGGGTCAAAAGGATGGTCTTTTCCCTTGACACTGCTATTATTTTAACTACCTTTACTTTTCAGCAATGTTTGTTTTTAAAAAGTGATGATTAGAATTGTAATAAAATCTAAACATATGATAAAAGTGAATTTATACATATTTTTTTTGTTGTTGTTCTGGAGAATTTACAACAAAAATATTAAACACTGTTTATTTTTTAGATTGTTTATTTACAAGAATAATTTTATATTTACAACATTCAAAAAATTAATACAGATATAACTCATGCAATGCAATATTTATCATTTACCAATTTATAAAGAAATGAATATGAAAACAATTTTTTTATTCATGAATTTATAAACATTTACTAAATTATTAAAATATGTGAACCAACTTTAAGGAAATCGTTATTATTTACCATTTCGAATCAAATGTTTGAATCAATTGGCTAATGTTTTGCCAACCATTTGAATAAACAATCTAATAAATAAATAGTCTATTATTTTTGTTGTAAATTCTCAAGAACAAGGAAAATGTTTAAATACACTTTCATAATGTGTTTAGTTTTTATTACAGTTCTTTTAAAAACAATAAATATTAAAAATTGAAAAACTGGATGTCTATTTAAAAAACGTGTATCCACTAAAAATAACATTTGAAGTAATAAAAATATCAGAGTGAAGAAAAAACGATGAATTTTTTTTATATATATATATATATATATATATATATATATATATATATATATATATAATAGCTGACCACCTGTATTTGAGGATACCCATCTATTAGGGTTGCTAGACAATCCCTATTGCAGCCGCTCACTCAGGCACATTTGCATTTGTTCAACACCCACAGAGCTTGGGTCAACCTGTGGTATGGTTTTCAGGCACTTTCCAAAATGCTACATGGTGGGATTGTCCACTCCAGACTGATAACATCAGGAAGTCTACTTCCTGACTAATCAACCGTGGTGAGAATTGAACCCAGTTGATTAGTCAGAAAGTTACTTTTCAATCAGCCTATATATATATAATATATATATATATATATATATATATATATATATATACCACTTTTCAATCACCCTATATATATATATATATATATATATATATATATATGGTTGGCAAAACATTAGCCATATATATATATATATATAGAGAGAGAGAGAGAGAGAGAGAAAGAGAGCAAGATTGAAAAGTAACTCCCTATTTTATATACAAGAGACTCTCCCATCTTGTAAAAATTATAGTTAGAGAGACCATCAAACATAAAAATTTGGGAGTTACTTTTTAATCACCCTGTGTGTGTGTGTGTGTGTGTGTGTGTGTATATATGTGTATGTGTGTGTGTGTATATATATATATATATATATGTGCATGTATTTTTTCTTTTTTTACAATATATTGTGTGTGTGGTTAGTGTAAGGGTTGCCACTGCTGAAAGTGGACTTGTCATAAGTCAAATTAGAAATATGATAGTTTGTTTCATTCTCTTTTTGTGGCTGCTCTTCCTCCGGCTATATGGAGGCTTATGGCCACATCACATTGAAACACTGCTTCCTGTGGAATCATCGAAGTTAAGCAATATTGAATCTGGTCAATACCTAGATGGGTGACAGCTTGGGAATATCAGGTGTTGTAAGCTTGGATGTTCTGGTGGCATAATGAGTAATGGCTCGGAATTGTTATTCGGACAGCCAAGTAACCACTTACTGCCGGGTTTGTTATGTTAACTTACACAGAAATACACTTGGGAAATATATGAATCCACCTCTTCTACTCCCAACTATGGGTTAATTAGTAGGGCTTGTATCACTAAACCATTATTACCATAAAAATATTCTTAGTCTAAAAATATTTTCTGGATTTAAATAAGTGGCAAAGGTTTGATAAGTCATAGAAAATCAATCGATCAATCAAATACTTATAAACTACACAGGCATGTCTTTTTGATTAATTTACATGATCTGTAATATTAATGTATAGAAACTACCATGGTCACAAAATGAGGGATCAGTTTATATATTGATTGTAATATGAAATTGAACCCCCACTTTACATCCAAATTATTATTACCGGTTTGTTTATTATATTCTGATTAGGTATGAATTCCCCTCTTCCCCCCAACTATGGGTTAATTAGTTAGACTTGTATCACTAAACCATTATTACATAAAGAAAGAAATTGTTACAATCTAAAAATATTTTCTGGCTTTAAATACCATTGCAAAGGGTTGATAAGCCATAAAAAACAAATCAATCCAGCTATGAGTTAAGTAGCAGAGCAGACTGGGCTTTTTTGCCATGAGGTGGCAGCTATTCAAGAAGGGAGAGTCTTTAGGCTTTGACATTATTATGTTAACTTTTCTTTTATTCTAGTTGTTTTTATTTTTCATTTCTTTTTTATTTATCTACAGTTACTTACTACACCTTTAGTATGTACGTTGATCTGAAGAGTACAAATGTAACTGCTGAGTTTGGACTTGCGCCAGCGTTTGTTGGAAACTTTGAATATTACATTGGACTCAAGCAGACTTGGTTGATTGCTGGTAAGTCTTTCTTTTCCTTAAGTTAACATCTGTTTTATTTGGGTGTGTTCAGACAAGCCTAAACCATAAGATGCACACAAATACATCAGGAATAAATTTGGGGGAGACATTGCAAGTAAAAAATTACCACTAAATCATAGTCAGTGTAAAGCGCTGTATTAAAATCAATGTATATGTAGCATTTATTAGATTTCCATATATTGCCCATATTATGACTTTTACTAAAACAGCCATCTTGGAACGTTATTATGAAAATGTAATAAAGCTTTTAAAGGATTTGAAATCTAAAAGTGACTTACACTGGCAGTAGCATTCACTGCCAGCCAAGATGATTTTGCTGGAAAATAGACTACCACCCATGATATCTTGGCTCTCTATGTGGCTAAAGCAACTAAAAAAAATGAATATAAAAAATAACATTGTAAAATGAATCCAAGAATACTAAATACTGTATTCAAGAATGTTACCAATTCTACTAGCTCATTTACAGTTGCTTTCTCAGTACCGTCACTTCCCTCTGTCTTTTCTATAAATACTTTCACGGTAACTGCACCGATGCACTACTTTCGCTGGTTCCCAAACTGCATGAATTTAAATGTGCAACTAGGCTGGCATGTCAGTCCCACTCTTTCACTGTCGAAATGGTTAAATATAGCCATCTCTTCTACTCGAACAGCTTCATGTCTTGCACTTCCCGTCTTTGGAACTCCCTTCCTCTTACTTGCTTCCCTGATAGCTATAATCTCCAACTATTCAAATGCAATGTCAATCGACATCTCCAGATGCCTTGATCTATTCCCTGTCCTCCTCTTCATCCTTTCTTCTATCATGCCTCTTTACTCTTGCTCCCACTCTCTGTAACCCCTTGCGTGCTAGTGATACTCCCATCTTGCTTGGGGTAAAAAGCTAAAAAAAAAAGTTTACATAAATTTAAATGCCTTACTTTTCCTACTTTTCTATTTATTAGAAATAAAAAAAAATAACTCAAGTAACCTGAGTATAAGTCTAAATATCTTTTTGTTTATATAAAAAAAATTGTATACAACAGATTGACAATTTTAAAGTTTTTGTTTTATTTTTAAACTTTTGAATTATGAATTTATTTTCATGTTTTTCTTCTCTCATGACAGGCATTGTTTCTGCTATTCTTCTTGGCATCTCCATTCTGCTGCTGATCATTGTTGCCAAAAGGTTGTGTGTAGCCATCGAACTCATCAAGGAAGCTAGCAGGTGAATAATAAACCTGAATTTGCAAACATTTACATTGCGTTGAATTAACAAAATAAATGTTTGATCCATTTAACTTTTAGCACTCTAAATTATTAATATTACTTCCCTTTCCACTGTATTCTTTTTTAAGGCCTCTCAGTTGCATTTTAGAAGAGGGTTCTGTTCATAACATAAATACAATGTCAAATTGATCCCTGACTTCCTTTGCCCTCTGCATTATTAATATTACTTCACTTTTCACTGCATTCTTTTTCAAGGCCTCTTAGTTGCAGCATCCTTATTGTTAATTTCACTCAAAGTTGTTTTCTGTTGCCATAGCAGGATATATTTGTGTATTTAAGCAGCATATTTTCATTCAAACAGTTTTGGTTAAATAATTTAGACATACTATGTCTGTTTATTTTTGTTTTAATCCTTTCAAGTCCATGAATCAATTTCTTGGTAGACATAGAAAATTGATTAAGAACAATACCATAATTTTCTTTCAAATAATTTTTATTTTCACTACTTTTCAGTCTCATCTGAGACCATCTTCAGGGGTCTCACATTTAACTCCCTGAATTTAACAATTTAACCTCCTGAATTTAACAATTTAACCCTCCTGAAGATGGCCTCAGATGAGACTGAAAGTACTTGGGGAAAATAAAAATTATTTGAAAGAAAATTTTGGTATTTTTCTTAATCAATTTTCTATGGCTACAAAGAAATTGATTGTATATCTAAATTATTTAGCAAAACATATTTGAAAATATATATTGTCATCCACAGACAAACTGTTTTGTTGTATCACAGCTCTTCACCGTGGCTAGATGTTCGATTGTTTCAAGCCAAGATCAAAACCCGACCAATTTGGTATCAGTCAGAGATTCTACTCCTAGGCTATTATTGCGTGGCAGAGAGGAAGGGAAATTTTAACATTTTCTATGCGAAATACGTCAGTGGCCTGGAGAGCTCAATTCATTTGGGTTGAAGAGCAATTTTCCTACAGATACAAAATTTTATTATAGTCCTTTTTTCTTTGTAAGGTTCAAGAGCAACTCGAGGTAGAGTGTTACTGAATGAGGTTGTTGTAGGTGTACAAAGAGGAAGTGAGTGATGCATATTATGCAGATAGATAGGAAAGATGACAGTTGACTCTAGATTGAAGAGGTTAAGATCATAATGATTGGGGAAGCATCCTCTCAGGAATTTACAGTGTGACAGTTACAGGGAAGATGCTGAATCCAACTTTTCCCTTAACAATGGAATATGAAGGGAATGTCGATGATTCACCCCTGTTTATGTGGCAGATATGGTGGGCCCTAGCTGTGAAGATCTGGACTGGATCTAGTCTGCTCGAACATCAGCCATGAAAATATTGATAGAGTAGCAAGACGTTTGTAATGACATTTTGCCTGTGAGAAGGAGGTTGCAGGGTGAAAAATAATTCATCACCCACAAGGATGCATAAACAATTTTGAACTCTGTCAAGGCTGGAAAGTTAAAATCGGGCAACGCAAAACCACATATAGCAGCATTAATCCATAGACATTTTATTATTTTTTTTTTTTAAAGAAAGTGCAAGTAAGATAGATTAATCCTAATTACTGTAGATAGTAAATTAAATAGTTATATTTGGGTGGAAGCTGCCCAGACCTCACTCTCAAGCCTTGATAGAATTTCCAAGCCCTTGTGGGTGATGAATTATTCTCCACTCTCCATGTGGCAAGCCTCTCATTGCTCTATCGCTACTTCCACAGAACATGAACTTGGACATGCTAGTCCTGCCAATCAAGGACATGCCATGCCACTTACATACTAGCAAAATCCTTCTTCTTCTATATGCTATGCCTATTCACATCATTGGCGATCACGGCTCTCCACAACTTCCTGTCATTTGTAGCTCTTAATAAATTTTGTCTTTTTGCTATTGCTTTTAAACCTTATTCTGCCACCCATTCACCACAATTCTGTTAGGTAGGTTATGCATTGTTTTCCTCTTCAATATGTCTTGTGAGTGTCAAATTTCCCAAGCCTTCTTTCCTTATTATGTGTCCTAGAAATTTCAACTGTCTTTTGCTGTTGTTAAGTATAAATGTCCTTTTTGTTTTTATTTTCTTTAAAACTTCCTCATTGCTCACATATGTTCGGTCCATAGTATTCTCAGCATCCTTCTGTAGAACCACATTTGCCTGTCTCTTCTTCATGGTGTGAGGAGATTGTCCAACATTCACTGCCATATAGGAGGACTGATATTACATAACAGTTCAGTGCTCTTTTCTTTGTTTCTAACAAAATTTTCCTATTTGTTAATACTTTGCTTTGCTTTTGGAAGGCATGTTTTTCTATCTCAATCATACTTTCTGTCCCCTGTTAAAACACTTCCCAGATATTTCAATTATTTGATTTCAGTATCTCTAATTTGTAATTTACATGGTTGTTCTTAATATCATAGAAAGGTGATAAAAATTGTCTAAATTAGAAGCGGATGAGAAAGTGCAAAATTTCTGTTGCAGATATTTTAAATTTCTTTTTCCTTTCTCTACAGAGCTGTTGGTGCTATGATGTTTACCTTTATTTGGCCATTCATTCCATTCCTGTTACAACTCGGAACTTTCTTCTTTTGGCTCACCAGTGCCATGTATCCTTTCTTTTTTAAATTGACTATATTTTTTATTTTCTTTTAAGAACTTTTTAATCCCATTTGTACATTTCTAAGTGATAACAGAAGGAGTTTTTCTCAATATACATTTGTCAATCCAAATAAATTAATTATCTATAATTCTCAAAATGTGTGTATGTATGCATGTGTGTGTATGTATGTATGTAAGTATGTGTGTGTATGTATGTGCGTGTGTATGTATGTGTGTGTCTCTATATGTGCGTGTGTATGTATGTGTGTGTCTATGTATGTGCGTGTGTGTCTATGTATGTGTGTGTGTATGTAAGTATGTGTGTATGTATGTGTCTATGTAAGTATGTGTATGTGTGTGTGTATGTATGTGTATGTATGTGTCTATGTGTGTGTATGTGTATGTGTATGTGTGTGTGTGTCTGTGTGTGTGTCTATGTAAGTGTGTGTATGTATGTGTGTGTTTGTGATCGGATGTTGTTTATGCATTTCCACAGTTTTCATCCAATTTTGATAAATATTTTTTTCGCCTGATAGATAATTCTTCAGTGCCGGTGTTGAGTCCAAATTGGCTGGAAAAAATTATAATCTTGAAGGTGAAAAATTGAGAAAAAAACTGATTTTTTACACTTTACGCAAAAATCAAAGGCAAAATTTAATGTCTGTAAAAAACAGCATCCAGTCAGTTTAGAGAATTGAAATCTAATGCAAAAGATTATTAGAATTATAAAAAAAAATATATTATGAATAAAAAATTATTGTATATTATTATTATGATGGTCCATGGAAAAGGTTCTTCCTTGAAATATTGAGAACGCAAAAACAGCCCTTTTCAGGGCCATACCCATTCAAATTGTTACCCACCTCCTATTTGGGGATGTGCCTCAGTTGCATCCAAATGTTACTAATATTGATTTTCGGGTGGGCTGACTTTAAACTTAAACTGCTCTAATTGAAATAGAAGACAAAAATTCCCAGTAATGAAACAATCGGTCAAAGATGGGTTATACTGCTAGTCTGTCTATATTTCTGCAATGAGTTATTGTAACTATTTACACTATTTACCCCAAGGAGTCATTGTTCAGTGGATAAAAGTGATTGATCCAAAAGTGACTTAACCCAAAGAATTGGGCGTTCAATCCCTGAGAATAAAACTTGGACAGTTGAATTATCAATGGTAATTAACTAAAACTGAGATATCAATGGCATGTGGAATTATAACAATCTACTCCCATGGACTAAATAAAATATCACCTGAAGAAGGCCATAGTGTACAATGGCTAAAACATTGTGAACATGGCAATAAAGATGAGGGCAACTGTCCGAACAATGTAAATAGTGTAAATAATAAATTTATGCCTTTTGAAGTGAAAATTCAGTAGTTAAACATGACAAATGTACCTTTAATGTTCTTGTTCTCCAATGTAGTTCTCCTTAAACAGATTACTAGTTATCTTGCTTCTATGGGAACACCCCAAGCGTACAGCACAGTTGTCAGTGTTACTAAAGATGGTACAAACATCCTCAGCAGAATCCCCTGCAATGAAAGTACTGTAAGTAACATGTTTTTGTATTTACTGTTAGCTTACTTAATACACGGCCTAAAGAGCCACTCAAGGTAGAGGGTTACTGAGTGAGATTATTGTAAGGGAAGGGTAAGGAGAAAATAAGTACATATTATGAGGACATGTATGATAGATATGGTTGACCCTGAACTTGAAGAGGCCAAGATTATGGCAGTTCGGGAAGCATCCTCTTGGGAGTTTTTTCCACAAAGTAACAGTTCTGGGGAAGGACCTGTTTAAGTAGACCCTGCAATGAAAGTGCTGTAAGTAAATTTTTTTTTGTATTTACTGTTATTTTACTTAATACATGGCCTAAAGAGCCACTCAAGGTAGAGGGTTACTGAGTGAGATTGTTGTAAAGGAGAAAATAATAAATGCATATTATGAGGACGTGTTATCTTGCTTCTATGGGAATACCCCAAGCATACAGCACAGTGTTTTCTGTTGGTCCCCATCAAGCAGACGTGGATCAACAGAAAACACATCAGTGGCTGAGGAGCACTGAGTTGAAAGCTGAGACAGAAGGAGTAATTATTGCAGCTCAGGACCAAAGTCTTGCAACCAGATATCAGTTGATCCTGGATTTGAAGAGACCAGCATTGTGGTTGTCTGGGAAGCATTCATGTGGGAGTTTATACATACAACTTCCTTGTGATAAACAATTTACTCTCATCAGGATAAGGAATGTAAAAGAAGAAGTCATGGATGCAAGAATCAACAAATTATCAATAAAACAATATTGGAATAGGTGAAAAAGAAGGTTATCGATAACATGGATCTACTACAGAAAGGCGTTTTAGTTTCTTTTTTTTTTATTTAGTTAACTTAGCTAGGGTATGTATGCTCATTGGTCCCTTTTATTTTTGTCCCTATTTTCTTTAAGTTTAATTTCCCATCCCCTCCCTCTTTAGGTGGTCAGTGATGTCAGTTCTCCGGTGGATGCGGGGCATACCCGTTTCATGCGTGAGTGTTTTCGTATTTGTTGTTGTGTTTGAATGAGTGCGTGTTAGTGTGAGTACGTGAGATGGATGAATGATTTATTCTATTAGAGTCCGCATTGATTTCGCCAGAGAAATGGGATTATTGCCACAGTAGGTGATTGTGGGGGTTTATTACTAATAATATTTTCCTTAGTTTCATGTAAATAGATTGTTCTCATATTGTAAATAAACATTGGGGTTAATTTTTAAAATTATTGTTATATTTCCTCCCCTCACAGACATTGTATTGTATATATGGGGTTTAGTTAGTTTTTCATAGAGACAACGAGGTATTATGGTGTTTGTAGTTTGAAAGGTACATATAAATCGTTGTTTTGGTGTAAGGAATATTATTCGTACGATTGGGTCAGTGACTACATTGCTTCTAAGTTAAAATTAAGACAGAAGAAGACCGTCCTCTCTCCCCATTCCCCTATTTTTCGCCTTGTGCCACATTTCTGTTGTAAATTGCAGAATAAATATTACTACAGAAAGGCGTTCGATGGTGTACAACACTCATGGATAGAAAAAAAACTAAAAATATACAGAGTTTGCCCCATAACAGCCAAATTCATAACGGAGAGCATGAAAAACTGGAAGACCACACTAAACCTAAACCATACAAACGGGTCATTAACATTGAGACCAATGAACATCAAAAGGAATGGACAATTTTACTAACATTTAAATGACAATTCTCCTTTAGAGCGTAAGGACCATAGTTTGAACCCGGCTCTACAGGATACAAAGCAGGAAACATAACATACACAAATAACAACAACAATAATAATAATACTTTAACAATAATAATAATAATAATAATAATAATAATAATAATAATTCAATAATTTTCAATCCCTGTCATTCTTTACTTCTCATGTTTTTTTTTGTTTAATTTTTACAGAGTGAATCAATGGAAAAATTCTGTGATTTTGTACGTTATGGAGGAGACAAGTAAGTATAGCTACATGCCGTATATGCTGGCATACAAGGCAACTGCACATATAAGACAACATCCAAATTTTCAAGTTAAAATGTAGGTTTCAGGCTATATTTGCCATACAAGAAAACCTCTACGACCACCAAATCATAATATAAAATGTATTGAATTTATTAAATAAATTCATTAAGCATATCATTTCTTTAAACTCAAATTCTAATGAAAAAATGGTGGGGAGATATAGTCAATTAACTTCCACAATCTAGAATACCTCATGAGTGGCTACTGTGTTTTCAGTAGGCTATTATAGTAGCCTGAATAACTTTTCCCCACTAACCATCCACATTTCGCTGTTCTTGAACGCGATCTTTAAACAGCTTGTTGAGACACAAAGGAGAGGTTAGCCTGCCATCAAAAATCTCCCATGCTAACAACTTACCATAAACCACAGGTTTTTAGGTTCACATTTTATACTTGGAGTATAAGCTGGCCTCTTATGGGGGGGGGGGATAAGGATAGGGGGGGATAAGATAATGGTTGCCTTGTACACCGACATATACAATAAGTATAAAAGTCCAGTTTTGTATGTTTACATGTAACCTCTATTACCTGAAATAGTGCATTGATGTCAAAAGTTTTGAGTTTAAGTATTGCATGTTGAATTATTGATTCCTTAAAATGCACTGAAAAAATGCGAAAATAAACCCAAAAATCCAGGTGATTCACAATTGAATAACACTATGGGGGTGGGGGGAATTAAACAGAGCCCAACGTGCAGCATTGTATCCAGAGTTATTGAATTAAATAACCACTAAAATATGCTAACTTCCTAGTCACAAATCCTGTAATATGTACTGTACTTGTAGTAGTGTGTTTAGGGCTGACTGAGTCTGTCCTTCTCTACGTTAGTTTTGAATTTAGAGTTGTCCTTCTCTTAGATTAGTCACCACTCATGACTAGAGAACCGAATCCG